CTACCATTGGGTCGCCGTATTTCATTTTTGACGAGCCCTAATGAAATTCGGACGGCGTGCGCTACCATACAGGCGTTAGCGACACAGACCGTGCACGTGCCCCCGGGTTCACAAATGTTAATTCCCCTCCGGTTGCGGAAGCCATGGGTGAAGGAGGCCTCGGAACAGGGCATGCTTTTGGGTCCTTCTAATAGGGCTGTTGGAGGTCTCGATTTGTCGGTGGCTCACACTTTGGTGGGGGCTGACAGGGATCCGTTTGTGATGGTTTTGAACGCTGGGGCGCGGCCGGCCGTCATTCAGCAGGGCACCGTGCTAGCTCACGCGGCGCGGGTCCCTGCGGAGGAGAGGCTGGTTGCGCAGGCTGATCCGAGTCCCACGAAAAACGTAACATTGAAGGAGGACCTCGATTGGGTTGATTCGCTGTGCGCGGACTCTGACGATTTGTCAGCGGTACAGTTGGGTGCGCTGCGCGGGTTGCTGATTGAATTTTCGGATGTCTTCAGTAAACATAAGTATGACATTGGGTGCACGGACCTGCTACGCCACCACATTGAAACGGGCGATGCGGCACCGGTCAGGCAAAATCCCTTCCGACTGAGTCCTGCTGAGAAGGAACATGTTCAGTCGGCAGTTAACGATATGCTAGAAGCCGACATTATTTCGCCTTCCTCCAGTCCTTGGGGAGCACCTATTGTGCTCGTTAAAAAGCAGGACGGGTCCCTGCGATTTTGCGTCGATTTCCGTCGCCTGAATAAGATCTCTGTGGCCGACGCGTATCCGCTCCCCAGGATGGACGAGTCTCTCGACGCATTGTCTGGTGCGCGATACTTTTCGACTCTTGATTTATTATCCGGATTCTGGCAGTTGCCACTCGACGAAGAGTCTAAGCCTAAGACTGCATTTCGGACTCCAGGGGGCCTGTTTCAGTTTAACCGGTTACCCATGGGACTTCACTCCTCTCCGGCGACGTTTCAGCGTCTTATGGAATTGGTTTTGTCGGGCTTGCAGTGGGATACGTGCCTCATTTACCTTGACGATGTCATTGTTTTCGGTAAAACGTTCGAAGAACACCTCCAGCGATTGAGAGGGGTGTTCTTGCGAATGCGATCGGCTAAATTAAAGTTTAAACCGGCCAAATGCCACCTTTTTCGTAAATCCGTGAGGTACTTGGGTCACATTGTCGACTCTTCGGGGATTTCTACCGATCCTGCGAAGACGGACTGTGTCAGTTCGTGGCCGACGCCCTTGTCAGTGTCAGACGTACGCAGTTTCATCGGTTTTGCTTCGTATTATCGCCGATTCGTTGAGCACTTCGCCACCATTGCAAAACCCTTGCACGCTCTAACGGCGAAAGGAGTGAAGTTCCGATGGGGACCGGAGGAGGAGGCTGCATTCTGCTCCCTCCGGGACGCCTTGGTTAGGGCCCCACCCTTGCGCTATCCGGACTTCGCGAGTCCCTTCTTGCTAGACACGGATGCTAGCAACACGGGCATTGGGGGAGTGCTGTCCCAAGTTGTTGGAGGGGTCGAACGAGTGGTCGCCTATGGTAGCAGGGTGTTGTCGCCGGCAGAGCAGCGCTACTGCGTCACCCGTCGCGAACTGCTTGCCATTGTTTTTTTTGTACAACAATTCAGGCCATATCTCTATGGTCGTCATTTCACGGTCCGGACGGACCACGCGGCGCTCCAGTATTCATTGCGGGTCGCCCAGCCCTCGGGCCAATTGTCGCGGTGGTTGGAAGTCCTCCAGGACTATCAGTTCACGACTACGTACCGTAAAGGGTTGCGACACACAAATGCCGATGCCCTGTCGCGGTTGTTGCCTTGTCACAAATGTGCGTGCTTATCGGGATCGGCGCGCTGTAAACCGCCGGTTACGGAAGGTAGGGAGGCGTTGGTTGCGACCGCGAGCACACCAATTGGGGATGGTCCCGCTACCCCTGGGGGTCAGGACTCGCTGCTCTCACTGTCATTGATTGAGTGGGGCCGTCTCCAAATGGCGGACAGCTCCCTGCTGGCATTGCGCCGCAAGACGGGGGGTTCCGAAGGTAACCACGACCGAACTGGCTCCTACGAGCTTAAGCAAGGCCTGTTGATGAGATGGGACAGTTTGTCCCGGCGGCATGCGATTGTGGTGCCTTCTGCTGTGAGGGGGAAGGTTGTCTTGGCCGCACACGAACGCCTCTTGCATTTGGGAGTTAACAAAACGCTTGCCCTGCTTCAGCGTGACTATTATTGGCCGGGAATGGGGGGTGACGTGGTGAATATTCTGAAGGGTTGTGTTGAGTGCGCCAGACGGAAACCACCGCCCGTGGCAGCTAATCCACCGCTGCAATCCATTCAGGTCTCGCGCACTAACGAGCTCGTTGCACTCGATATTCTTGGGCCTTTTCCGGTCACGCCTAGGGGTAATAAGTACCTGTTGGTGGGGGTTGAATATTTTACCCGGTGGCCTATGGCGTGGCCACTCGCCAACCAGTCGGCGGCGGCTGTGACGGACGCCTTTGTCCAGGGCTACGTCCTGGACAAGGGGGCTCCCGAACGCTTGCTGACTGACCAAGGGAAACATTTTTCGAGTAAATTACTGCAAGAGGTGTGCGACCTGTTGGGTACCAAGAAGGTGCGTACCTCCCCGTACCACCCGCAGACGGACGGGATGGTGGAGAGGCTTAACAGGACATTGACTTCTATGTTGTGCCAGCAGGTGTGTGAGGCACATGTTGATTGGGACCTGCAGGTCCCTGGGGTCCTCGCCGCGTATAGAATGGCCCCCCATGCAGCTACGGGATTTTCCCCGTTTTATCTGATGTACGGTCGGGAAGCCGACCCGCCCATGGAAACGCAGCTGGGTCTGCCCACACCACGAACTAATTCGAAATTGGCAGAGCATATTAAATTTAATATTCATAAGCTGACAGAGGCAAGGGAGGCCGCACGGCTTAATTCGCGGGCTCGCCAAATTGCAAACGAGCGGTTGCGGGCACGGAAGGTGTCCGTGCACAATTGGGAACCAGGTGACAGGGCCTGGCTGCATTGCCCTCAGGCACCCTTGGCTACGTCGCCTAAATTGTTGAAGCCGTGGCGGGGACCCGTGGAGGTCGTGCGGGTTGCACGCCCCCAGTGCGTTCAGATAAAATGGGGAAAACGCCGTTGGTACGTCCACCCCTCCCGACTGAAACCGTTCTCGCCTCCGTATGGCCTCCCCTTGTGTCATGAGGGCCGAGCATGTGACGTGACCGGCGACCCTGAGGGGGAATTGTCTTTGCCTGCTCCTCACATGTCTCCGCCTGATCCGCTCCCAGGTGTCTCGGAACTGACAGCTGCCGACCACCGGCGGCGGGATCTTGAGCGGCCGGAGCCACCGGACGGTCGCCAACGTCCCGTCCCATACGACGGACCGGCCAGACGGACTCGCGCTAGGTCGCGCTACTTTGTGTGACCTACCACGTGAGGAGTCGAGGCAGCCGGAGCGCCTCGGCACTGCGTTTAGTCGGAGTGACACTTGGCGTGTTCGTTTTACGGTGTTCGCTTTTACTGTATTGTTCGTCGGGCTGTATATTGCTTCTTATTTAAGTGTTGTTGTTGTGTTGTTGTTGTTGCGTTACGGGGCACACTGGGGGGGTGGGGTTTCTTTATTACTGCGTTGACGTTAGGTTGTGTTGTTGGTTAACAGCCGGGCCGGCTGCAAGCTATGTGGGAGGGGGTGATGTAGAGGTGATACGCGCTGACGGTGGAGGATCAGGGGTCAGCGCGGGGTCGTGGGTTACGGGGTAATGATTGGCTGTGGGCCGGTGACGCGCTGAGAGGGAGTGACCGGGTGGCAGCGCGGTGTGATTGGCGGAGTAGCGTTAACACGCGCTGGGGAAAACGGATCGTAGAGAGAGTGCGTCGTGATTGGTTCACTAAGGAGCGATGCTCACGTCGACGTACGCATCAGCTCCGTCTCTCGTGAGCAGGGGCTATAAAAGGGGATGCACACAGGCGTGAGAGCAGAGTGTAACCAGCGAAGAATGAAGACGGGGATGAAGACCTAGGGCCCTGCGGTACCTAGTCCCGCTGTCCTAACGGGACCGGGACTCTGTGTAACCCAGAGGCGAGTGTAGTGTGTGTAGCCATAGGCATAAGGTCTACACGAGCCGAATGCATTGTGTGTAGCCAGGGACATAGGGTCTACACGAGTCGAGTGTATTGTGTAGCCAGAGGCATAGGGTCTACACGAGTGAATGGTATCGTGTGTAGCCAGAGGCCTAGAGTTTAAACGAGATTAGTGGAGTGTGAAGTCGGAAGAAAGGAGACCACACGTTGTATTTTGACACGTAAAGATTTAATAAAAAGTGTGTTCCCGTCAAGAAGTTCCTGCCGTCAATTCCCATACTTCATATGTAACAGTCCTTATTCTCACATGAACACAGACACAAATGAATAAGCATACGGATGGACAAACAGATGGCTTACAGCTCTACTGGCTCGGCTTGGATGTGTCATGGAGCAGCCCTGAGCCAAGCTCAGGGCTGCTCGAAAGGCTGACCAAACAGATAGGCCTTCAGATGTTTCTCAAAAGTCAGAGTGCATTTGATGTTGCGAATGTGCAAAGGGATAAAGTTCCACACCGATAGGGCGATGGCAGATAACTGACGTGAGGCTGTAACAGTTCGTGACCTTGGTGTCTGAAGCAGATTTTGAGTGATGCTGCGTAGGGGTCTATCCTTGAGCTTCAGTGCAAGGCGAGAGCAGTGAGGCAAGGTATGCTGGAAACCGGTGGTGAAGGGGCAATGACAAAGACAGGCGATTTTAAATTAGTATTGCTGGCAAAAGGGAGCCAATGAAGACTATGGAGAGTGGTGGCTGAGTTTAGTCGTAGTTGGTAGACACCAAGGACGACACAAGTGAGGTTGTTTTGTAACCGTTGTAATTTAAAACTCCACATCTAGTTGTAGAAGAGTTTGGATCGTGGGTAAGGAAGTGGGGAGGGTGATAGGCATAGGTGAGGGGCCTCCTTACCAGTTAGGCCGTCGATCTCGTTGGCCACGTAGTGCAGGGCTGCCACGGGCCCGTGCGGCGTGAGGAAGGGGAGGCCCTGTGAGCGGTAAAGCAGGAACGTCTTGGCGGCCATGCTCACCGACATGAGCGGGCCCAGCAGCGTCGGGGCGTTGATGTCGATGAACTTCATGTCTGAGCAGGCAGACGAGTCATAGTGGTACTCGACTGATGTCACGGTGACACTTATTAATGCAATGACATTGCTAAGATGGTCGTATTTGGCCATAAGTAAAGTCTATATTCGGGGTTGTACAGGACAGCCCAGGACGTATAGATAGTAATTATAAATTCCTAGATTGCTACTTTGACTTTCTAGATCTTGTTCTGATCATGCTTGACATAGTCTCAAGTGAAACGTCTTTTCTAATTGCTGAATTTGGTCGTGAGGATTGTCCTTAAACTTACCAGTGAGTTGAAACATGTTTATATACAGTAGATCATCGGATAATCACAGCACTCTTTAAAATGTAATATTTTTGCGCATTTTTGCATAGTATATGTGTTTAGGTGTTTTGTATATGTTTTTTGAGTCGTAAAAATAGTTTACTATATGAAATTGGCAAAATATACAAATGTACAGAAATAATATCCTACTGTACAAAGCTACTGGATTTAATGTACCGTACTGACCAATCCACGCGCGAAGACTCTGCATAGGGTGATCTACGTAGTACTACATTCTTGCAACGTGTTTGACGATCGCTGGACTGATGTGAATACCAAATAACATGAACTTTTCACCGTATCACACTGTATATTTTACGTGCTTATTACTGTCATGAAAAATTTAAACACGTGCAGTATTTTCATAGTTTAAATTGTTGTATGTGTTGAGGAGTGGAGTGCTGATGTCAGGTCACACTCGCCTCGGGGGAATGCCGTCAGGGTAAAGTGACGTCATGCCACCCGGGGTATTTAAAGGTAGAGAGCCAGGCTAAAGGGCTACTTTACCCGGCTGGCCGAGTTGGCTGAACCCTCGGTCAGTGCTGTGGAAAGAGCCCGATAGCCTGGTGGGGTGTAGGGAACTCCCAGTACCCTTCCCCTGGGGAGATTAGTTAAGAACCGTTGTGTTAACCCCTTCCCCCGAGTTAGGCGTAAGCCCTGAATAAACCGTTTGGCATCAGCCCGTACACGACCGGCTTCAGCGTCCTTTTCTACCTCTCCTCCAATCGCTTCAAACCTTGCCTCTTGACCAATCACTATGGAGGCCTCTCTGCACCAATAGGAGGCATTGGCGTACATCCTGGTAATCTGTTTGGTTGCACATTTGCTTCAGGTTAGTGCTCTAGAATTATGGTTATTACATAATCAAAGATGACATCGGGTCAGAAGATTGCTATCAAACATATGAATGACAGAGATATCAGCTCATACCGTGAGGGCCTCGCTCTGACTAGGCCCAGCTGTGGCAGTGGAAAAGGGGTATTGTTCTCTATAGACAAGACAAATTGAGTAGGTGGAGCAATATGAAGATGAGGAGTTAATGCTGATGGTGAGTTCTTTATACCTGGCACGTGGGCGGTGAGGTGCAGGAACCACTGGCGGATGGTGGAGTCCCCGTACATGTAGAGCCTCTTTCCGCGCAGACACTTGGCTAGGTCTTGAGGAGACGGGAAGAGCCGTGTTCTGCAGGACAGTGATACCCACTCATCGTTGAGGTAGAAGCCACTCAGAGAGGGCATGGGGTGGCCTGGCATGCACGGCCCAAGGCTGGCCACTGAGAAGCACACATGCACATACACTCAATAAGGTAACTTTTGTTTTTCAGAATCGTGAGAAATCAATAAAATATAATTCACTATGACACCCCTATTGACTTTGACTCAAGATATGTTTGTTCTTAGAACATTTATGACTGTATTACTATATCGGCCTCGCTGTGCGCTGCGTTGCACCGCTAGTCGAGTAGACAACCATGTGTTCAATAAACCCTCGAAGCCAGGATGACCGTCCAACTCCGATCGTCATTTATTGATTTAACAGGTAAAACTGGTGAGAAAACACAGATACAGCATCTGTTATAATTCGGAAACACCCACACAATGAACACCACAGCATCAGAACATTGTCTCAGATAACAATAGATCCTGGAAGGACCAGGCCCCCACATTACCCCTGAACAACTAGACAAAGGCACAAGCTGATGCGTTGCATACAGGCACAGTGTATTCATCCCACTGCACCCCAAATGTACAGCATTACACTTAACACTAAACTGTGGATGAGATACTTCGTCATCACTCTCAGGATCGCAACATAGGCACAAGTCTGACTCGACCTACTAAATCACAAGTAACATCCACAATAAGGAAAGTCACAGGCTTCGTTACTAACTAGGCCTCGTATTTACTACAACAACTTAACGGCACCATAAAGGCATTTACATTGCTATAACGGTCATTCCAACATTACAACAGCATTTCCAATATTAGAGGAATATAAACAACTTACAGATAATGCTTCTTAAGCTCCCACAATGGATAAGTGCGGCTGTGGTCTCACTGAGATGCGATGCGTGCCGCCATCTTGACTTATCTGAGTAATGGCTGAAGCCCGCGTGGTACAGTGGAAATCTAACATCGTCACTTCCTGGTCACGTGACCAACATTAGCATCAAAAAACAGGAACTTCCTGTTAACGTACGCTCCCCATCTGCCGTGAGGCAAGACACTCCCCGTCTGGTATCTAGGAGATACCACCATTTATTTCCTATCTCATAAACAAGTGTCTAACAACTTCAACGGGTCGACTTATTTGTCCATATCTTTGCGAGAGAGAAGTAGTACTATCTCGACTATGGGCCTGATGAAAGTTCTTGCGACACCTTGCTTCGCAATCATAACCTCGACCTTTCGAACTTTTCCATCGGCACTTGGAATCGACTTGAGGATGCGGCCCATTGGCCACTCATTCCGTTTGGCTTGGTTGTCCTTCAGTAGGACGAGGTCGCCTTCTTGGATGTCTGGTCTATTAGACTGCCACTTGTTGCGCACTTGGAGTGTCGTAAGGTACTCGTTTTTCCAGCGATGCCAGAACGTGTTCGCGAAGCTCTGCACTTGTCTCCATTGACGTCTGTAGAGGTCTGCAGTGCTGGCCTCCTCAGTAGGTGCTGTGAGCACATCTGTCGTCTGGGTAAGAAGTGTAGCAGGACTCAAGATGAATGGTGACTCCGGGTCGGTTGAGACGGGAATCAGGGGTCTTGAGTTAATTATGGCTGAAACCTCGGCCATGAGAGTGGTCAAGACCTCGTGAGAGAGCCGTGTGGACCCGACATCACATAGCATGGAGTCGAGAATGCGTCGAGCAATCCCGATCATGCGTTCCCAGGCTCCACCCATGTGCGAAGAGTGGGGAGGATTGAAGATCCATGTGCAGCCTTGATCACTAAGGTATTTCCTGACAGAATAATCTTCGACATTCTCCGTATTGATCTTAAGCTCTTTACATGCTCCTATGAAATTGGTTCCACAATCAGAACGGAGTTGCTTGGCTGGCCCTCTGATGGCGAAGAACCTCCGGAGTGCATTTATAAAGCTCGAAGAGTCCATGGACTCGATGACTTCGATGTGCACTGCTCGTGTACTCATACAGGTGAACAGCACTGCCCAACGTTTTCTGTTCGCGAGCCCTCCTCTGGTGCGGCGGGAGATGACTGTCCACGGTCCGAACACGTCGATCCCTACAGAGGTGAAGGGAGGTTCCACACTGAGTCGATCGGCTGGGAGGTCTGCCATTTTCTGTTCTTCCTGTTTTCCACGTAGCTTGCAACACCGGATACACTTGTGGATTGTGCTGGCGATGCACCTCTTTGCTCCAATGATCCACAGCCCTGCAGATCGGATTGCTCCTTCTGTGAAGTGCCGACCTTGGTGCTTGACCTTCTCGTGGTAGTGGCGCACGAGTAAGATTGCGATGTGGCTCTGGCTTGGGATTATGAGGGGGTTTCGTTCATTCTCATCTAATTTTGCATTCCCTAGCCGACCACCGATCCTGAGCAAGTTGTCTTTGTCCATCCCGGGGTTTAGCTTCCTGAGGGTGCTGACCCTAGGAAGATCTTCTCCCTTGTTGATGGCCTTGATCTCACTTGCATAAGCTGCCTGTTGCACACAGCGGAAGATTGATTTCCTTGCTCTGGAAAGCTCGTCTTCAGTGCGTGGCACTGTGCAGTAATGCCATCCATTGCTGGTGCCAGTGGTGCCTTTAATCGGGCGATGGAAGCAGTCTGCAATATGCGTTAAATGTGCTATCGCTCGCACGAGCGTCGTCCATTTCGAGAAATGTTCAAAATGGTGTGGACTCAGTGGACTTCTTGGTCGCACATTTGTTACGAAAGTTGTCACTAGAGGACGAATCTCCTTGTCGGACTCGGGCTCTATGAGTCCAAAGGTCTCCTTGGTAGTACATGGGCCACCGTCACGTCATAACAGGAACGCTGGACCCGTCAGCCAGATGGTTTGATTCAGCAGAGATGCAGGGACGGACCTAGTTGCGAGATCTGCTGGATTCTGGTCAGTTGGAACGTAATTCCATTGCTCCGGCTGCGTCGATCTCCTGATGCGCTCCACCCGGTTGCTGATGTAGGTGTAGACCCTTCTGGTTTGTTTGTTTATGTAGCCTAGTTCGACCTTACTGTCCGTGTAGAACTTGACCGCGTCCAGTTTGACGTCAAATTCGTCTAAGATCAGTTCCGCCACCTCTGTAGCAAGAATGGCTCCACACAGTTCGAGCCTTGAGATGGTATGTTCCGGTTGTGGGGCCTTGCCGTGGAACTCCTTCCCGAATTCCCACTCGGACGATAGCTCCGAGTCGAGGAACGGAGAGGCCACGGTCACAGCGACCACTGCCACGACCACCAGCAGAGCGACGAGCAGCGGCTTCACCTTAGTCTTCTTCCCGTCAGTCAGGACTGGCTTGAAGAAACGTGGAGGAACAAACTCCAACGAAGACAGTGGATGTACAAGCGAAGTCATGGTGGTTTCTTCGTAAGTCTGCATGGTACAGCCTTGACTTCTCTCGCCGAGTTTCTCTTTCAGCGTGAAGTGGTTGGGGCACGGTTTGAAGAGCGACGTGCGTCCATTCGTGAGCACACTCGTTCTGAATGTGCTAATGTGGTCTGGTTTGTGTATTCCCTTCAGACAAACGTCACCTACGATGACCCATCCTAGGTCGAGTCTCTGGGCATAGGGAGCGTCGTGAGGTCCATTACGTTGGTCGCGAATCTTGTGGACTCTCAGCATGTCCCTGCCGAGCAGAAGTAAAATCTGTGCCGCGTGATCCAATGGCGGGATGAACTCTGCTATGGGTTTCAGGTGTGGGTGGTGACGTGCAACTTCGGGCGTGGGAATCTCACTCCTGTCGTCCGGTATCTCGTTGCACTCTGTCACCGTAGGAAGGGCTAGCTTCATGGTGCTATCTATGGTTTCCACCATGAGGCCGCTCGCTCTTCTTCCCGCTGTCTCCATCAGTCCTGAGCATGTTCTGAGCGTGTATGGAAAGGAATTCCCACCTACACTTAGCTGATCAAAGAACTCTGACCTTGCCAAAGACCTGTTGCTCTGGTCGTCCATTATGGCGTACATCCTTACTGCCCTTTCAGGATGTCCTTTGGGATAGACTCGGACGAGGCATATCTTTGAGCAAGATCTTCCTTTGAAGCCTTCTCCACAGACTTCTGTGCATTTGGTTGTGATTGACGAAGTGAGTGCGGCGGTCTCGCCTTGCTCCCCGCCGTGCTCTGCTTCGGGATCGGAAGCCTTAGTGCTACTGGGTTTCGAGTAAAATGTGTGCAGAGCAGTTGCGTGTTTGTCGCTGCCACATTCCTCGCACTTGATATCTGCCTTGCAATTCCATGCAAGGTGGTTTGTAGAAGCACAGCATTTGAAGCACACTCCAAATTCTTTCAGCATGTTCTTCCGCTCTTCCAATGGCTTCCTCCTGAACTCACGGCATTTCTGGAGGGAGTGAGGTTTATCATGCAATGGGCATTGCTTCTCTGGATCCTCTATCTTTTTCTTTGTGGTGGTTGCCTGGACAGAGTTTGCGAATGTCGTAGGAGAGACCTCAGTCTTGTGTACGGAAATTGGCACTCTCGCTGTTCCTCGTTTCGCCGTTGTCCTTTCCATTTTTGGGAGATCTGGACTGGAAATCCCCGTGGTGCCAAACATGAAACTCGGGTCATTTCTAGTCTTAGCCAGGTTGCGGATAAACTTTGAGAAAAAAGAGAATGGGGGGAATGCAACCTGATGCTCTGACTTGTATCTTGAACCCGCTGTTCTCCATTTTTCCTGCACGTCAAATGGCAATTTCTCTACGATGGGGTTCACGCCATGGTAGGTATTCAAGAAAATGAGACCTGGTAAGTAGGGATCAGCCCGGGCTGATTCAAGCTCCATCAAAAGATCTCCAAGCTCCCGTAACCTTTTATTGTCTCGACCAGAGATTTTTGGAAAGTTCTGCAACTTCTTGAAGAGGGCCTTCTCAATGGTTTCTGGACTACCATAGCACTCCTCGAGCCTCTCCCACACCGCATGCAGGCTTGAGGTGGGGTCGTCAATGTTTGCTGACCGGATCCTCTTTGCGTACTCTGCAGACTCATTTCCTAACCATTTCACCAACAGGTCGAGTTCTTCACTTGCAGAGATGTCTGCATTTCGGATTGCATTCCTGAAGGTAGATCTCCAGGCTCGATAGTTCTCAGAGTGGTCATCAAACTTAACGAGTCCTGTGTTGATTAGTTCGCGGTGAGCTAGGTACCTAGCAAAGTCCCCTAGTCCTGCTGATCCAGAGTGTGTCCATATTGGCGCTTGTGAGGTGCTATTATTTGCTGCATTGCCTTGCATGCCGTCATTTGCGATGGCGTTGGACTGTGGGACCAAAGGGTTTCGATCACGTTGGTTGGATCCCCTTATGTGACTGTCTGGAATGTGGGTCTGACTTGGTGCATCTACGTCTGACCCCACGTGCGCGACGCTGAGTTGGCGACTTACTGCCAGGGCAGGATATGTATTTTCACCTTTCCTGTAGACAGCATTCATGTTCATTCGGTGTGGAGATGGCGATGCCTGAACGTCCACCCTTTGTTCAGTATCGTTTGGTGGAGGAGCATTGATGCATTGTTCAGACCAGTCCAAAATATTTTTTCTGGTGAGTTGATCACGGTCCTTGACAGGTATCTGAGTGCCAAACTCACTCCAATTCTCTTCCTTATCCAGGTTGGCTGCTGCCTCGAGCACCTCTGCCTGGGCCATTGCAGCAGCTGCTTCCCTTTTGAGTTGTAGGGTGCTTAACTTAGCATCCAGCTCAATGTTCTTCCGCGTGGCGGTAGCCACTAATATACTCTCTTGCTCTTCAAGCTCTGCTTTCTTCCGTGCAGCAGTAGCCACTAATATACTCTCTTGCTCTCGTGCGGCAGCAGTTGCTAATATACTTTCTTGCTCTGCTTTCCTCCGTGCGGCAGCAGTTGCTATGCTTGCTTCTTCTTGTATGTGGGCCTTTTCAATTAGCATGGCTTCCTCTTCAGCCATGTAGGCAATACGGGCGTTTGCTGCTTCTGCTGCTGCGCGTGCCTGAGCTGCTGCCATACTAGTAGATGATGTCTTTGAGTGTGCTGAGGCTTTAGATTTTGTGGTGGGCCTGGATGAGACGGAGTGCTGAGATCGTGTCTCTCTTAAGCCCTCCACACGGTCCATTGCATCTTGTATCACTGCCTGCACATTATCATCGAGCAGTTCGAGGAAGTGCTCTTGTCTGCGCACTCCCTCAATGCCCTCGTCTGTTTTCACCTTCATCAGGAGCGAGATGTATTTATTTGCCAGGAGCTTGTAGCTTGAGCTGCTCACATTCACTCGCTGGATGGCCCGCTGAATTGAGGCCACTGTGTCTGAGGCATTTGAAGCTTCAGATAAATCTGCTTCAACCCGGTTCCATGCCCGTTGTATCCTGGCATCCAGGTCCTGTTTCTCAGCCTCATAGCTTTCCAAGGCCCGTTGCGTCAACCTGACCTCCCTCTGGGGCCTTGAACTCCCTTGGTCCTCTTGAGGCAGGATGGGATATCCTGGATTGCTTGGTTCACCTTCTTCAGCATCTCTCCCTGCTGAACTGTGTCTTTCCATGCTGTGATGCTTGCAGCACGATTTTAATGTAGACTCGTTGCAGAGCTCCTTGCTTGCTGCAGGCTGACTGCTTGAGAGCTGGTTGCTTGCTGCAGGCTAACTGCTTGAGAGCTGGTTGCTTGCTGCAGGCTGACTGCTTGAGAGCTGGCTGCAGAGCTGGCTGCAGAGTTGACTTCAGAGCTTCTTGGGAGCTTTAAGAAGAATCGCTTTTTACTTGGCTGCAGAGAGCTGGCTGCAGCACTAGTTGGGAGCTTCAGGAAGAATATCTTTTTACTTGGCTGCAGAGAGCTGGCTGCAGCACTAGTTGGGAGCTTCAGGAAGAATATATTTTTACTATCTCGGCCTCGCTGTGCGCTGCGTTGCACCGCTAGTCGAGTAGACAACCATGTGTTCAATAAACCCTCGAAGCCAGGATGACCGTCCAACTCCGATCGTCATTTATTGATTTAACAGGTAAAACTGGTGAGAAAACACAGATACAGCATCTGTTATAATTCGGAAACACCCACACAATGAACACCACAGCATCAGAACATTGTCTCAGATAACAATAGATCCTGGAAGGACCAGGCCCCCACATTACCCCTGAACAACTAGACAAAGGCACAAGCTGATGCGTTGCATACAGGCACAGTGTATTCATCCCACTGCACCCCAAATGTACAGCATTACACTTAACACTAAACTGTGGATGAGATACTTCGTCATCACTCTCAGGATCGCAACATAGGCACAAGTCTGACTCGACCTACTAAATCACAAGTAACATCCACAATAAGGAAAGTCACAGGCTTCGTTACTAACTAGGCCTCGTATTTACTACAACAACTTAACGGCACCATAAAGGCATTTACATTGCTATAACGGTCATTCCAACATTACAACAGCATTTCCAATATTAGAGGAATATAAACAACTTACAGATAATGCTTCTTAAGCTCCCACAATGGATAAGTGCGGCTGTGGTCTCACTGAGATGCGATGCGTGCCGCCATCTTGACTTATCTGAGTAATGGCTGAAGCCCGCGTGGTACAGTGGAAATCTAACATCGTCACTTCCTGGTCACGTGACCAACATTAGCATAAAAAAACAGGAACTTCCTGTTAACGTACGCTCCCCATCTGCCGTGAGGCAAGACAATTACACTCGTAGCGTGCCCGAGAATCTTGAAAATCTTTCCTGTACTCTGGCTCAACTGAGCAGGCCTGGCCACACTCTAGACATGCCCAGCTAAGGCTGCGTAGGATATGAAGTGCTCAACACTCACTGAGGTTGTGCAGTGATGACGACGACAACACCTTGATTTGACTTGGATCTCCGCTGATTCTCACCTTTGAGACTTTGCTGCATCACCCAGGAACAACGCACAAAAGAAATGGGTGGGGAATGGCCCAGGCAGATGGGATGCCACACCGGCAGGTAACGTGTAAGTTAAGACTCAGTCCATGCCTTTACAAATTGTGGAAATTGCTGTGTAGCTGAGATTGGTCTTATCAGCTATACTTGAAATTCCATCACAGCAGGAAAATGTGTGCAGGCTGAAAGCAAATCGATTGAACAACATGAAAAGGTGTGCTCACAAACATCAAGAAAGCACGACTCCCATCATGACTTGCGGGCAAATTATGGGATTACCACATTGCTTGTAAAATGTTCTAAGGCTTGTCCAGACCCCAGCACAAGAGCTAAATGTGGCCGCATTATTCTTTACATCACCAACTCATTGAGTCCAAACGAGGAGTAGAAAATGCTGTTGCATCAGGATTGGGCTAATAAATCTTGAAAACCCATTCACTGCTCTACTATTGGCCTGAACTCATCATTTTGTTGCTACAACTATCAAGTTAAATGCATGGGGGAGATTGTCAAACTGGAGGAGGCAGATGTCTGCTCTTACTTGCTTAAAAACCGCTCCTCATCTTTTGTGAGAATGTTGCTGCGTCCTCTGTTCGAGTGAAATCGCAGGGAGTCGCAGGGCAGCTTCCTGGGCTTCTTGCAGAACCACATGTGTCCTGTCGCCGCGTCCCTGTACTCGCACATCCTGGACTTCATCATTAAGCGCGGCACCGCGTTGCACTCGGTGGCCTCGCCTCTCGCTCCTTCCTTCTCGAAGTAGCCGGTAAATAAGATCTTGTTGGGCACCGAGTCACGGAGGCGGCTGATGATGTGCACGGCCTCACTGGAGTGAACCAGTTTGATTTCCACAAGGGCCTCGCCGGGCCACGGCAGCACAACGCTCGCCGTGTACGAGCCGTTGTCGTGGTCCAGCACCGAGCCGAATGCACCGGCTCGGAGCCTTGGTGAATGTACCTTAATGCGGAAGTAGTCTCCGCCGTGCCGCTTGTCCCTGCCGTGGTGGTCCCTGGCCTGCACGCTGAGGTGCAGCGTGTCACCCACCGTGAAGTTGCGTGTCCCACCCAGCAGCCGGTAGCTCGTGGTCGCGGGGCTGGTGGACGACTCGAAGTTGAACGAGGACGTGGCGGGCGGGCTCGGCCACAAGAGGAGCTGCTTCAGGTCGTCCATCTCGGGGTCATGCGGCTCCGGAGTGGAACTTCTGGGGCCTGGTTCGGGCCTTGCATGGCGGGGAGGCTTTTGCAAGGGAGTGATGATCAGCGACACCTGGGGAGGCAGTGCATGCACATCAGAACATGAGTAAATTAAGGAAGAATGAGGGTTAAGTAATTTAATGACAGGAATGAGAAACTAAATAAGGGAGGAATTACCAAGTGAATGAAGCATGAATGAGAGAATGATGATATAATGCATAAATTAACGAATGAGTAACTAAGGGATAAATGAATGACTTAAACGAATGAGACAAAAGAATGAGTGTATGAATGAGAGGTAAACAAGTGAATGCAGGAGGAGTAGCGAGAGAGTGAATGAGGGAAAAATAAGTGAGCAAGTGCCAGTATAGTTTAGTGATGTGGTATAATTGTGTGGTATTGTGTTAAGTCGTCTAATTAAATGGTATATGGTAAGTACTCGCAACATGTTTCACAATAACGTGGTTCTATTAGGAAACATTTTGCACAACGCGGAATTCATCCGTTATAACGTGGGACCTGATCATTATAACGCGGTTTCTCAGAAGTTGACGACGAACTACTTTCTTGAGCTGCGCAACTGAGCCTTATGATATAGTACATGTTGTACATGCATTGTGTCTCACTAAGCTTTTTCGTTACATTATTTAAGGGGACATTTTTGTCTTTACACATTTTTGTTGTTGAACGCAGCACTTTTCAGGAAGGCATCTACCGCGTTAAACAGCAGTTGTGTACAGTATACTGTAATGGTGCAGTGTAGGAGTATAGCGTATTCGTGCAGTTGTAATGAAGCTCCTTCACAGGTTCCACTTTTGAGAAGATTTATTCCATAGAAACGTATTTACAAGGCGAGAGTATGACTCACACATTTGAAAAGGCTATGATTATCTGCAGCCCCGGTGGTTTACACGAGATTAATCTCGAACAGTCCTTCTTGATCGTCTCTACTATGTAGATCTCCAACAGTCGGCCCCAATGTCGTCCACCTGCAGTCCCTGAGCCAGCATGCCTGATCGCGGGCCTCGCTCCCCCTTATGTACCCACTCAGCCATGCCCTGGTAACTTCCAGCACTTTCCCCCGGTAGATGATTCCAGCACATTCTAACTGTCTTCTAATAGCTAAAAGGGTTTAGCTACTATAGCGAGCCGGGGTAGAAATCGTCGACTGTAGTAAACAAATCTTAGGAATCACCGCACCGTTGACCACATGCCCCAAATATTTAACTGAGCCCTGCACAATGGTTTCAATGTCAGTTTGGTGGCTCGCACTTTAAATAAAACCTATCGCAGTGCCATCAGATGTTCGTCAAACGACCTACTAAAAACAATGATATTGTAGAAATAAATCAAACTAATCTCCCATTGTAGGACCGACAGTACAAGTTCCATGAGGCGTTGGATGGTTGTCGGTGCTGTGAGTAATCCCATGGGGAGTCTATTAAATTGGGGCAAACCCTGCGGTGTTAGAAAAGCAGTTTTTAATTTGGATTCGTCGTCCAGGGGAAGTAACCAAAACCGTGACGATAGATCAAAGGCCGAAACATATTTTGCTCCTTCTAATGCATCGAGAGAATCATCAGGGGATACGCATCTGCGATCATAACCTTTACACTATTAGACCTCCTTTACCAGTGGCAAAATATAGTAATAGGTTTTTACCCTTTCAACTGGTACAAAAACTGACACCTTTATACAAGGGATCATGTTTTCAATAACCACAACACAAGCAGAGTTGTACGCCTTTTGGCGTCATCTGGTGCAACACCAATGGAAACTAGGCTCTAAGAAAAGCTCTCTTGGGTGTGGACCAATCAACTTCACGGACAGTGCATATCAATATCAGAGTTGTTTCTTTTTGTTTGCATTTTGACTGCTTGTGTTGTGGTTATTGCAAACACGATTCCTTGTATAAAGGTGTCAGTTTTTGTACCAGTTGAAAGGGTAAAAACCCTATTACTAGATCATAACCTTGTTTAGGTGTCGGAAATCTCCACAAAACCTAATGGAACCATCTGGCTTTTTAACTAGGACTACTGGCGTTCACCAGGGGTTTGTTGATGGAGAGATAATTTCCGCTGTCAACATCTTATCTGTAGCTCTACAGAGCTGTTCTTTATCTACTAGTTCCACTCTATCTGAATTATGTTTAACGGGTTGAGCATTTCCTGTTTTAATATGGCGCTGCATCAAGTCCGTGCAACTCATACCTTACTGAAAACGTCTTAAAATTCTAGAAGGAGACTTTTAAGGTGGTCTCTTTGACCTTGAGTCAATTTAGGTTTCCGTTGAACGATTTCCTCTGCCCAGGGAGACCCTATCCCATCCTTCTCTTCCCGCTACTTCGGCATCTTCATGAATCTCACTCGCTGGGGAAATTTGCGCAATTACCGTCCCTTCTCGCAATGTAATTGCGCACTCTGACGTATTTAAAACTTGCATACATAGCTGCTGGTTCCGTCTTAAAATGGTGTCTCCCGTTGATAGCGAATGTCGACCGATTGTTGGTCCCAATGGTGTAGCTATAATTTCTGCGTCCACGCTTGAAGTGATTAATGGTGATTGATTTCGCAAGGGAATTAACACCTGTGCTCGCGGCGGAATCGTCATTGACTCTCCCACCACAGCCTGTACTCAGGCAGCCTTCCTGTCTCCACATCAGGCCACAAAAAGATGTTATTTTCCTAAACGGCATCTCAACACAGCCCTGGTCCATCATTATCTTAATGGGTATCCAACTTAAATAGTCAGTACCCAGTAGACATTGTGCTGCTAGGGAAGAGGAGACCAAAACAGGGCCCGTAAAACACATTTTCTCTATACGGATTTCTGTGTTAACTTTTCCCACAATTCCTAGAATATTGCCATTCGCAGCCACAAATGTGTTCTAGATTTGAAGTTTTCGTGACTGCAAGGATTCATACTCTTTGGGTTTTTCGGTAAGTGGCGTAGGTAAAAAAATGTAAATGAATTAAATCACGACGTTTCGGAGGCAACACAAGCTTCCGTCTTCAGGTGGAACCGTCACAGCAAAATGACTATCAAGTGAAGAGAGCTCTACGAGACACGAGATTATATGTAGGTGAAGAAGGGGGGGGGGGGGAGCCAGGATGGGCCGCGGGGGGAGGGGGGATAAGCTGGTGACGTAATTTTTATGATGCAGGAGATGGCCAGTGAGTTAAAACGTGGGCGGAATTTAAGCTGAACAAAAGGGAAGCTAACTTAAGCCGCCTTTTGTTATGCTGCAGGGCATTAAGAGGATTAGGAGGAGGTTAAGGGAGGAGGTAATGCTGGGGGTGGGGGGGAGGAGGATGGATGGCCTGAGGGCGAGCCGTGTGGAGTAGAAGCTAATAAACTGATTGCCTTGCAGCATACTGAAGGCTACTAAAGTTTAACTTGGTTAATAACATATGGATATGTTTAAGACGATTTAATCTAAATTGGCTGTCTAGCCGTAAACTGCATGGCAGCTAACGTTTAACTTGGTTAATTACATCCTTCCAATGATTGCTCAATCTGAATCCATCATCTCGGTTGAAGTTATGTCTATGTTTGTATATCTGGATGGCTTCATGGACAAATCTTTGGTAGTAACCTGGAGGTTTACAGAGCACCTTGGTATCGGAGAACACAATGTCATGAGAACCAGCAATATTACAACAGTGATCAGCTACGGCTGAATAATTAGTTCTGCCATGTTTCAAATCCGACTTGTGCTCGTGAATGCGATCGGAAATATCTCGTTTCGTTTCCCCGATATAATAATCCCCACAAGTGCAACTCAGTTTGTAGACACCAGGGTACTGTAAGTCAGGAATGACATCCTTTACAGATGGGATCAGATCACGGATCTTGTTTACTGTACTGAATCGGACCTGGATCTTGTGTTTGTTTAGAATTGTGGAAATCTTTTTGGTCACGCCTGCTATGTATGGCAACGTAATGATCTTGATCGGAGTCTCTGGGGGTTGTTTATCTTGAGGGCACGATGTACATGTTCCAATTCACTGTCCAGGTGGTGTTGGTCAGAGATGCAGTGGGCACTATGGTATAGTGTTTTGATGATAGAATAATTTTGTGCCGGATGGTGGTGGGAATCAGGTTTCAGGTAGGAATCTGTGTGGATGGCCTTCCTGTAGACAAACTGTCCCAAAGAGCCATTGGGTGTCCTCTCAAACAAAACATCCAAGAAAGGTAGCTTACCATCCTTCTCCACTTCCATGGTGAATTTGATGGATGGGTGCATGGAGTTGATGTGATCTAGAAATTGGTTCAATGCTGAGAGGCCATGTGGCCAAATGACGAAAGTATCATCCACGTATCTCTTCCACAGGGAAGGACGCAGAGTGTATGTCTGGATGGCATCTGTTTCAAATTTCTCCATGAAAACATTGGCTATCACTGGTGACAAAGGGGAACCCATAGGGGTGCCCTCATTTTGTTTGTAGAAGGTACCATTCCAGGTGAAGTAAGTGTTGGTGAGGCAGTGCCTAACCAGAGTACGTACATCAGGATTCAGTCCATGTTGGACCAAGTCTTCAATTATTGCTATGGTGTCAGACACTGGGACCTTGGTGAACAGAGAGACCACATCGAAACTAACGAGGACATCATCAGGGGACAGTACAATGTCCTTGACAGGAGAGACCAAGTGAGTTGAGTTCAGTACTGCTGAAGTGGTCTTGCCAGTGAAGGGAAGTAGAGTATCCGACAGAAAACGGACCAGTTTGTAGGTAGGTGAGTAGATCGTGGACACGATGGGCCGTAGTGGGGTACCTTCTTTATGGATCGTGGGAAGCCCATAGAATCTGGGAGGTCTCGCAGCCCAGGGTTTCAGGGAGAGCCGTTTGATTGGTTCAATTAGGGAAGTCGAACTCGTGATGATTTTGTTGGTTTTAGTAGTTAGGCTATTAGTCGGATCCAGGACCTGCTCAATGATGGCAGCTACTCCAAGATCAATAGAGATTCGACTAATAGCCTAACTACTAAAACCAACAAGATCATCAAACCAAAGAGTATAGCCACAAATGTATTCTCAACCGGTTCAAGCCGACGTTTTTTCGCAGGTAACATATCAAACACGAGTGCAGAAATGATGGTTACTGATGCTCCCGTGTCCACCAACACCCTCACCAGATTTCCCTCTTTCGCTCCCGCCAAAACCGATGTTCCCGTGGCTGCTGATACGACCCGTCTCGCTTACTTTTCCACTTAGCCCTAGATGTTGGCCTAATTTGCCCTGTTGTGTCATTCCGGGTCGCCGAGATCGAGTGCTGTGCTGGTGATGATGGTGATGAGGGTTTTGGAAATGAGGTGCATATGTGATCTGGCTGGGTGTTGTTCATAAAAAGTGCACTAAATGGCCGACTTAAAGCTTTAGCCCAAAATTAATGGGCCGAGTAGAATAGGTGTTTGGGCAGATGTTGCATTCGTAATTTGGATATAAGAAATAATAATTGTTTTATATGGTCATTGTTAGTAAAATATGATTTCCCTAATTTACATATTATAAATGGATATTGATATAAAGAACATGCTTCATTATTTTATGCAGCATTATTAGGGCATGTAGGCAATTTAGGAGGCACTACAGATGTTTTGGGCAGATGTTTGAAGTTAAATATAAAAATGTTTCTTGTTAACTGTTTGTTAAACCATATCTATGTTAAATGTTCTTAGATTTGATAAGTGGCTGTTATCATTATTGATATTTGGGTGGACTCCGTGCTGAGGGACTGAGCTGAGATGTTGTGTGAGGTGGAGGGTGATAAAGGTGTATCTGGTCATGATTGGCAGATACACGAATGCTCCTCGGAAGAACACTTTGCAAAAAAGCATTGCCGTTTCACAAACCTCTGGTGCCTATTTATAGTGGAGTTGGACACTTTTTTCGAGGACAAAACACAACACAGTATCTCCTCATCGCCTCCGAACTTTAGTGATGCACACAGTCCTCGACTTATGAACACGCGACTTATGAACACTCACACTTACGAACCAGCTCACATGAAATAAAAATCAACGTTTTAACATTGACTGAAAACGCGAACTCGCGCTTGCAAACTGACCTGCGGAATTACTTTGTTCAGCGGAGCGATCCTTGGTGAGATGTAATGAATCAGCCTCTCCCTCGGAGTGTTTGTGTGTGTTCGCGTGCACGTGTGTGTGAGAGTGAGTGTGTGTGAGAGTGTGTGTGTGAGAGTGAGTGTGTGTGAGAGTGAGTGTGTGTGAGAGTTAGTGTGTGTGAGAGTGAGTGTGTGTGAGAGTGGTAGTGTAGCGGTTAGCGCTACCAAAGTGGCTGCCTGAGTTCGATTCCCGCTCATGGCCAACACCAGTGACCAGTCATGGGCCTCCCCTAGGTCGACTCAGCCTCAAATGAGTACCTGGTGTGGTGTGTAAATATTCCCACTGGGGAGACAAAAATGGCGTGTTGTTGGTCACCTATCCACTCGTGTGCCATGATGGCCTTCATAGGTGCTACTCGTGAACAGCGCTTGCTTCTACAGTCTGTTAAGGCTATACGGGGGGATCTTTGTGTGTGTGTTTGTGTGAGAAAGTGAGTGCATGCGTGTGCGCGTGTGTTGTGGTCGGCGTTTGCCCGGGAACGCGATATGTGTTTGGCATTGCCCGGGGTGGTCAGCGTTCGCCCAGGGGGACTCTGGGAGAGGATCAGCTGCGGGGCGCTGTTGAAGATGCGAACCAAGTCCCGAGACTAGAGCCACTTTTAGTCTCTCAGAGCGCTGTCGAGGGCGTAAACTTCGCGACCAAGACAGCAACTGCGTTGAGTTGTTCAAAGCGCTATTGATAGCGTCAACCAAGTCCCGGGACTGCAACCGCGTTGAGTTGCTCAGGTGAGTTGTCGAAGGCACCAGTCGAGTCCTGAGACTGTCGTTATATATCCTGGGTTGTTTCTTCACCCAAGAGTGGAGCGTGCGTGCGTCAGAGTTTGGTACGAACAATCGTGTTTTTTCTGTCTGTTTAGTCGCCACGGTGGGTGTGATTGTAAACACGTGTTCTGTAATTGTTGACGATAATTTTTAAGAGTTGGTTGTACGTGGTTGTTGAGAAATTCTTATCTGCCACCGTTTGATTCGCCTACTTTGGACAAAGTGTCCCAAGGCATCGTTGATATATTCCAAATCTTGTAAAAATTCTCTGTTTTCCGGATCGAGTTATTTGTTCATCTTAATATCGCCGTTAAAGCACGTTTAAAAGTCCGCATTGATGCCCTATAATAGAGGGAATCGCATGGGAGAGAAAATGGAGCCGGACTACTCTTTCTTCCTTTTAAACAACAACAACCCTCAATCAACACGGGTGACGATTATCTGAATGGTTCCTAGGTCTCCCCTAGGTCGACTCAGCCTCAAATGAGCACCTGATGCGGTGTGTACATATATCGTCACTGGGGAGACAAAGGCAATGCGTGGTGCTGGCCATTCTCCCCCTCGTGTGCCGTGCCGACATTCATAGGCGATGCTCACTAGCAGCACTTGCCCCAATAGTCCGTACCGAGGGATCGTCTGTCGTTCGTTTGCGTGGCTGTGTATTTGTGTGTGTGTGCGTGCGTGCTCCCGTGTGTGTGTGTCTTTGCAAGTGCGTGTGTGTGTGTGCGTGCTCCCGTGTGTGTGTGTCTTTGCAAGTGCGTGTGTGTGTGTGCGTGCGTGCTCCCGTGTGTGTGTGTGTCTTTGCAAGTGCGTGTGTGCGTGCTCCCGTGTGTGTGTGTCTTTGCAAGTGCGTGTGTGTGCGTGCGTGCTCCCGTGTGTGTGTGTCTTTGCAAGTGCGTGTGTGTGCGTGCGTGCATGCTCCCGTGTGTGTGTGTGTTTGCAAGTGCGTGTGTGTGCGTGCGTGCATGCTCCCGTGTGTGTGTGTGTTTGCAAGTGCCTGTGTGTGTGTGCGTGCATGCTCCCGTGTGTGTGTGTGTTTGCAAGTGCGTGTGTGTGTGTGCGTGCGTGCTCCCGTGTGTGTGTGTCTTTGCAAGTGCGTGTGTGCGCGTGTGTAATTGTGGTGACTCATTGCCCCCCCCCCCCCCCCCCCCAGCATCAGAACTCAAGTGAAGTGACAATACAACTGATTTTTGTTTCTATTCACGTAACTTTGTTTTATGTTTTATTTACTATACAATATTGTTTTTATCGTGTTATACAAGCAAATGTACAATGTTTCATCTTATGAGTTTAACAATGCTTCACTTTTCTGTTGAAGCGTAACACATTTGACATACCACTGACCGTATGGGCATTTAAATCCAATATATTATTGTGTTCCTTTTAATTTATGAACGGGTCCAGGAACTAATTGTGTTCGCAAGTCGGGGACTGTGCGTATTGTCTAGTTAGTCGACCTGTCCCTCGATACGATTCACGGGGAGGAGAGGGACAGTGTCCCTGCTATACAAGCAAGCTTTAACCACCACGCAGAGGTCGCAACCGGGTACCCGATACCCGTACCCTACCCGATACCCGGCTACCCGTACCCGGCTGGGTACGGGTAGCCGTTTGCGACCCTGGTGCGGCCGGGTACGGGTAGGCCGTGAGTCATTGGGGAGTAGCCGTTTGTCACTCATTTCGGGTAGGGTACGGGTACGGGTAGGGAACGGGTACCCGTACCCGGCCGGGTACGGGTACCCATTTGCGACCCTGGTACGGCCGGGTACGGGTACGGGTAAGGAATCAAAACCCGTTTGCGACCTCTGCCACGACGCCGCATGACGTTGTATTGCGATGAAACACGACTAGATGCCACACGCGGCGACCCAATAATCACTATGCACACGGGGTACAAGTGCATTGCGAGGCGCGCTGTCTCGAACCGAGAACACAAGAGAAGCGAGGATATGTATAGAGGAAGATTATGAGGTGGAGTTCTCACGTTCATCACGAAGAAAACGAGGGCGCTGAGGGCAAGGAGCGATATCAGAAGCCACGACCTGAAGGTCCGAGATGGAGGAAGACTCTTCGAGTCCATCTTCATCATTCAGGCCCGAGGAGGCAGACGCGGGGACTGTTCCTGTACTTAGCCGTAACCTCCTCCCCCGGCCCCTCCTTCCTCTCACCCTCCACCTGCATCCTGCCCACTCCTCTGTCTCATCTGAACTGTGTCCAACCATTACACCCCAGATTACAACAGCACTCACTGACTTACCGATTCGTACATCCACTCGCCACCCACTCACTCACTCACCCACCCGCTCACTCACCCACCCGCTCACTCACCCACTCACTCACCCACCCGCTCACTCACCCACTCACTCACCCACTCACTCACTCACTCACCCACCCGCTCACTCACCCACCCACTCGCTCACTCACTCACCCACCCACTCACCCACCCGCTCACTCACCCACTCGCTCACCCACCCGCTCACTCACCCACCCGCTCACTCACCCACCCGCTCACCCACTCACCCACCCGCTCACTCACCCACCCGCTCACCCACTCACTCGCTCACCCACCCGCTCACTCACCCACTCGCCCACTCACCCACTCACTCACCACCCGCTCTCCACGCTGCAGGTCACCTCACTTCTCTTGCCGCTTCTCCCCTTCGTACGACTGCGCTATGGAATTCCCTCCCACCGTCGTCTCTTTACCCAGCTCTTACAAGCTTGGTGAATTCATGAAACGTGTAATCTCTTGTCCGTTAAACAAGCAGACAACACGACACTGCATCTCCAGGTAAACAAACATTTCTACACATCCCATATCAGCCACACGTCCTTCTCTGGCAGAATATATGTTCATCAGCATTGATTGAACAAACGCGAGCAAACTCTGGGCGTAGTTTCGACGAATAATATCTCATCATCAGTGCGAGTCTCGCGTGAACTGGAGCCCCAGTACCGAATTGCCCACAATCCAAGCATCGACCGACCGCACTTTGCCCACCGGTACGAGGTTTCCGTCGTGCGTGATGGTCACCCAACCTCCGCACATCGTGTAAACCCGGATCGTAAAAGTTCCCCTCGTACATTCAGACGACATCTCATTCTCTTCACCTTGTGTCTGCGTGCGGTCACATCTCCCCGTGTCTTCACGTCTCCCCGTGTCTTCACACACGCTGTCGTGAGCCAACGTCTCCTCGCAACGCCCCACAATTTGCGCGCGTCCGTCGCGTCTCCAGTTCAGGAGTCATGGACGCGAGGAGGCTGTGCGGGACCTGGGCTCGAGCCTCGGTCGCCCTCCTCTGCATCGTCGCCATCGTCCTCATTGCAAATGTGAGTCAGGGATCATTCCTTTACATCTCATGCTCGATGTTGTATGTTTTCTAAAAGTACATTAATCAAAACCTTTAAGATCAAATGACCACCGTGTGACAAACCGGCGCAGCGTATTTCAAGGTTACTCAACGCGAATGATTAAACTGCACCAGGGCGGAGGGCTGGGGTCGAACCGTGAATCGCGAACCTCTGCCGGTCACACCGCCAATTGGAGTCTCCAATGTGCACTTTGTTCCGGGGTGAGTTAATGTTTAGATACTGTGGCTACTTTTAAGGCAGGTTTAGTGACGGCGTGAGTTGGGGACGGGTACGGAGGTGTAGCGGGGCAGCAGAGCTGGGTGGGTTCACGGGAGGACATGTCGCAGGGTATTTCGTACGGCGTAACCAAGAGAACCAAATTTGAGGGGGGCAGTCCCAACACATACACACACTCTGTGAGTTGGAGTCTCCATATGAGTCTATGGATCGCTGTGAGTCTATGGGTCTCTATCGAGTATGTGTAACGCGAGTCTCTGTGTAAGGAGTCTACAGTCTACAAGTCTCTGTGTGAGTCTACAAGTCTCTGTGTGAGTCTTACAGGTCTCTGTGTGAGCCTACAGGTCTCTGTGAGTCGACAAGTCTCTGTGTGAGTCTACAGGTCTCTGTGTGAGTCTACAGGTCTCTCTGTGAGTCTACGGGTCTCTGTGTGAGTTTATGGGTCTCTGTGTGAGTCTACAGGTTTCTGTGAGTCTACAGGTCTCTCAGTGAGTCTACAGGTCTCTGTGTGAGTCTACAGGTCTCTCTGTGAGTCTACGGGTCTCTGTGTGAGTCTACGGGTCTCTGTGTGAGTCTACAGGTCTCTGTGTGAGTCTACAGGTCTCTGTGTGAGTCTACAGGTTTCTGTGAGTCTACAGGTCTCTGTGCCAGTCTACAGGTCTCTGTGTGAGCCTACATGTCTCTGCACGAGCCTCTGGGCCCATGTGCGAGTCCATGATGGTGGAAGCTGCTTATGTGTAGAGATGAGAGGTTATTTGGGTTAGATCGCATACATATGTAAATGTATAGTTAAAACCCACCACCACCCGGCATAGCCAACTAGAAAGGCTTGTCATGTAAACGGAACATGCCAATTCGTCACTAGTACAGCACGCCGGTGTGTTGGAGAGCCAAGCCACAACATTTACAATCTGAGTACGATGTTTCGCCAGTAATTACAACTAGCTTCATCAGGCGACAGCCAGATTTGTGAAAAAGTCTAACTGTTTCGTTCCTTATATAGAAGCGTAGATGTGGTGACCACACTTCTGCGCTCTTGTGCAAAGTGGGGGGGGCGGGGGGTAGTGAATCAATTGTTTGCACGACTGTGGCTGAAAATGGACGCTGACCTTTATCCCGTAGATGTAAATAGAGATCAATCTATGGTTTATTGTGATGCCACGACCACAGAGCAACTCCGCAAGCGCCATGACTCTTCCCGGCCCCTGTGGAATGGGTTCCAGAGACACTTGTAGAGGTAACTTCTTTATTACGATACAACACTCCAACAGTCCTGATACTCTGTTACAGCCTAGGGACATAACCTAGGGACACAGCTTAGAGACACAGCTTAGAGACACAGCCTAGGGACACAGCCTAGGGACACAGCCTAGGGACACAGCCTCGGGACACAGCCTCGGGACACAGCCTAGGGACACAGCCTAGGGACACAGCCTAGGGACACAGCCCCCTTGTCCCTAGGCTGTGCCTAGGGACACAGCCTAGGGACACAGCCTAGGGACACAGCCTAGGGACACAGCCTAGGGACACAGCCTAGGGACACAGCCTAGGGACACAGCCTAGGGACACAGCCTAGGGACACAGCCTAGGGACACAGCCTACTCCTAGCGTGCCTGACTCTGGCTACGCTCTGGGGTCCTCCGGCTACAATTACCCTAGGGGAGGCTACCTGACCCGACCCAGCCAAGGTGCGGGTCTAGACTCTGGCTTCCTCGGAACTCGCCCTTACAAGGATGTCGAGCCGGGAGTCCCAGAGTCCCACCACTGGCCCGCACAGCATCCCGGCCCTTACAAGGACAAGCGGGGCGAGGGGGTCCAGGGTCCTAGCTGGCTGGTCTTGGGTCTTGAGCTGCGACTGGTCCCGATCGGCTAGAAAGCGGCCCTTTTATCCCCCTTGCCCATCGAGGGGTGGGGTTGCGTGGGATCCTAGATCCCCCGCAGCCCTCCGTTGGTGGCGCCAAAGGGCTCAGCTGTCTGGGTTGTCTGTGATCCTGAGGCCCGGCCCGAGGGCTTAGCTGCCTAGGATCCTAGAGCCCCCAGCAGCCCCCCCCCTCATGGGCTGGCACAGTGGCCCCTCCCCTGTGGGTCCGAGGTACCTGCAGATGGGCCCTGTCCACTACTGCCCATAAGTGTGGCCCATCTACGGCACTACGCCTGCACTAAACACCCACCCACACGAAGTGCACACACGTAGTGTCCCAGCGGGGGATTGCCTGGCACCACGGGTTTTCATCCGAAGGGCCCCTAGAGGGGAAGTACCACGGTTTCCCGGTGCCAGGAGAATGGCCGACACCCCCCCAGGACAAATTACATTGCGGCCCCCCAAAATTGGCTTAAAATTGTATGGGCGCACAGAAGCCTACCGGGCTGACTGCAATGAGACGCTCACAGCACCGGGGAGGGGCCAGGGTGAAATATTACGCGAGCAGCACAGACGAGGAGGTGGGAGGGAAATCCCTGTGCACACCGCGGGTGTGTATTCAGCCGGGCGGCCGCTCAGGCTAAACCAGCGGACAGCGTAACGTAATGCCCTAGGTCAGGGGTCGGCAACCTACGGCTCCGGAGCCGCATGCGGCTCTTTACGGGCTGCCTCTTGACGATATGTACGTATGTGTAGTGACATAAGAAGGGAGGGGCTGCTGTAGGCTCTGGGTTCCCAGGTGGGTCCAGACGCGTAAGCCTCTGGGCGCCAGGCACTGGGTTCCCAGGGGATCCAGACGCTTTTAAGCCTTTGGGCGCCAGGCGTTGGGTTCCCAGGCGCTTAAGCCTTTTTGGCGCCGCCAACGGGGGGGGGGGGCTGTGTGTGCTCTGTGGGATGTCTGGTGGCGCACAAGACCCACCCCTCGTCGGACCAGGCATAAAAGGAGAGCTCCCTGGACGATCGGCCCAGTTGTAACTCAAGACCCAAGACCCACGACCAGCCATCTGAAGACCCTGGGATGCTGTGAGAGCCAGCGCTGGGACTCTGGAACTCCCGACGCTACGACCTTGTGAGGGCGAGTCCAGAGCGTAGCCAGAGTAGAGTATCTAGGCTGTGTAGCTAGGCTGTGTACCTAGGCTGTAACAGAGTATCAGGACTGTTGGAGTGTTGTATTGTAATAAAGAAGTTACATCTACAAGTGTCTCCGGAACCCATTACATTTGGCGTCAGAGGTGGCAATGGAGACAAGAAGTAAGCCACGTACCTTCAGTCCTGACGGCGATGTTGAGGAGCAAGCGGCGACGGGGCAGCCAACTCGGGCCGACAACAACGCCGCACCACCGGCTGAGCAGGCGTCCACCACACCTGCCGATCCTCCTCCAGCGTCGGGAGCAGCAATGGAGGAAACGCTGCTTCGCCTCACCGAGCTGCTCCACGCCACCGTCTCCATCCTGGACGACATGCGTCGCTCACAGGCGGAGGCAGGAGGGAGAGAGGCGGCGCAGCGACCGCGCCATCCCGCCGGCTCCAACACAAACACATCCGGGTGTGTCGTCACTTCTGCGGGGGGAGCAGTGGCCGCTGGGAGCGACGTCACTTCCGGGCCCAGCGTGGGCCATCCCGATGACGCCGCGTCATCAGCGCGGCGTCCCTCACCGCCGGGTGACAGCTGTTGGCAACCGCCGAGTGAGAGCGCTGCGAACGCGCAGCCAGCTTCAGCCGGGTTGCCAGGCAACGGAAGCTTGGCGCACGTCCAGCAACGCCTGCCAGCACTCAAGGCATTTTCTTCAGAGAGGGGGTGAGTGGGCAGCGTTCGAACGCCGGTTCGTCTCTCTTATAGAGACGTCCGGCTGGTCGGAGTATGAAGCGCTCCAGGGCCTCCCGGCCATGCTCGACGACGACTCCCTCGCAGCACTCCTTGCTGTGCCACGCGCGAAACGTGCCACGCTCACGGATGCCCTTCATCAGATGCGGCTGATTTATGGACCCCCATCCGAAGCACGTCACCGCTTCGATGCGAGGAGGAAGAAGGCCTCCGAGTCGGCGATGGGGTACCGCAGCGCGCTGCTGGCCATGGCGAAGGTTGCCTACCCTCGCATGGATGAAGACGCTGTGGAGTCACTCGTGCTGCAGAAGCTCATGAGCTTGGCCCGCCAGCTTCGAGTTGCCATGCCGACAGCCGACGACGACGACGACTTCACGTCGCTACGTGCTGCCAGGTGCATCCAAGCACACCTACATTGCGATGAGGACACGACCATCGCCGCCTGCGCAGGCCCACCTGATGCACAAGCCTATGACGTGCATTCGGGGCCTCATCAGGCCTTCGCAGCAACAGAAAATCGCGGATCGTCCAACTGGCGATCCCAGCGAGATCACCACCAGCGGGACCGGCCAACCTCGCGCCAGGACGGAGCGTCCATCGTCTGCCACAACTGTGGCCTTCGGGGCCATGTGGCGTCCGGCTGCCGGGTCCCCCGACGCCGGACTTCAGGACCTCCGGCGCCTCGGCCACCACCTTATCCTCGGCATACCCAGGCGAGTCACGACACCTCGCACTCTCGGCCCCCACTTACAACAAGCACGCACCCTCACACCACACAGGGGGGTCATGCTTCGAAGGAGGGGGATTCGGGCCCATCATTGAACAACCGGGCGCTCGGACCGGGTCAATGGTCCGAGTTGGCCCATAGGGTCGTTGCCGCTGCGGCAGGGTCCTCTGCCGTAGTGGGTTCCATCGAGGGCGTTGATGTTCGTATGTTGATCGATACGGGTGCGTCGGCGACCATCATTTCAGACATAATTTATAACATTTTGGCCG